GAGATATCTCTTTTGTAAAGTTTGCCTCTGATGAGCATTAGTTAGGAGTGAGATGTGGCATCGAGGCAGATTTCTTCCTTCTTCCCTCATTCCCTTCTTCCCTTCCTTCATTCTGATGTCAGACTTGAGCAGGGTTAAACAGATATGAGAATAATCCAGCTGAGAGGAAGAGGCTGAAAATGAAAGAGAAAAAAAATGAGTCACCTCATAGAGAAGAGAGGACACTGTTCTCTGGAGAGCAAGAAGTTACAGCCTATGTTAAGGTTTGTATATTAAAAAAAGTCTTTTAGTCAAGTGATATTATGGGTTGATTTGTGTCCCCCCCAAATATATGGGGGAGCTCTAACCCCTGGGACCCAAATGTGACCTTATTTGGAAATAGGGTCTTTGCAGATGTAATCAAGATGAGGTCACTCTGAACTAGGATGGGCCCTAATCCAATATCAGTTTTCTTATAAGAAGAGAAGAGACACAGAGGGAACATGATGTGAAGACAGAGAGGGAGAACACCATGAGACAACAAGGGAGAGACTAGAGTGATGCATCTAACCCCCTCTTCTCCCCAAAAGCCAAGGGTTGCTGGCAACAACAGAGGCTAGGAGAAGAGCATGGAATAGGTGGTCCCCTAGAACCTCCAGAGAGAGCATACCCTTCTGACAATTTGATTTTGGGCATCTAGGCTCCAGAACTGTGAAAAGATAAATTTCTCTAGTTTTAAGCCACCTAGTTTGTGGTAATTTGGTATGGCGACCCTAGGAAACAGACAGGTGTTTTTGTGTGTGAAATTGGAGACAAGATCATCTGCTGGACGTAACAGGGCAATGGAAGTCTGAGTAGAGTGCAGAAAGATAAGACTGTTGTGGTGTGAGGAAGAGGTGACCAGAGCAGTTAATGCAGAGAGCCCACCAGGCGTGTGGAAGGTTGTGGTAGGCATGGTTTCTAAAGCAGCCCCCAAAGTTTTACCCTAATCCCCAGAAACTGAGAATGATGAGATATCACTCTCATGGTTATTTCACATAATATGGCATGGATGATGATAAGACGGGGAGATTATCTGGGTGGGAAAGACTGAATCATATGAGCCCTGAAAAACAGAATTTTCTCCAGTTGATGGCCAAGTGGAAGTTAGAGAGATCCTATGAGAACTCTGTGGGACATTGCTAGTTTGGAGATGGGGGGGCTACATGAGAGGAAATATGGGTAACCTCTGGAAGGAGAGAGTGGCCCCTGGCTAACTGCCAGCGAGGAAATGGGGATCTCAACCCTACATGTGCAAGGAACTAAATTCTGCCAACAACCTGAATGATCTTAGAAGATAATTTTTCCTCAGTCCCTTCAGATAAGAATTTAGTCCTGCTGAAATCTTGATTTTTTTCCCTGTGAGATCATAAGCAGAGAACTTCATTGAGTCTGCTTGGACTTCTGACCTATGGTACTGTGAGCTAATAAATGGGTGTTAAGGCTGCTGAGTTTGTGGCAATTTTTT